AGAGGACAACAAACGAGGGGCTGTGACAAACTGTTTCGTCGGAGTTTCACCGACTCATCAGGAGGCTGAACCCTCAACAGTCTGCAGAATCCCCTCACTGATTACACTGTAAATGATATATATATATATATATATATGTCTGTCTTAGTCTGCCTTGACCCCAGTTGCCTATGAGCAACAACCATGGGCTGCTGCACAAGTGATAACCCACTAGAGCAGAAATGGACACTTTGCACAAACCACTGCCTTTCGTGATAGCCTAAGGATGCTCTGCAGAAAAGCAAATGAAAGCACACAGTCACAGTTTTGCAGTACCTTCCTTCCTTAGGTGTCAATTCTGATGCCTTACCCTGTCATTTACATCAGACTTCCATCTTTGTCAAACGAGGAGGAGTTTACTATGGTCAATGTAATGAACTTTGCTTTTTTTCTTTTTCTTTTTTTTTTTCCATTTTTTTTTTGAAGCCCAGGGTGTTGTAGAGGCCAAGGACCAGACCCGCCGTGATTGCTAGTAGCGGCAGCCAATGGTTGTCCTGACAGGATAGGCCACCTACCCTACCCATCCCCACGTTAATACTCCCAGCGCATGCCCTGTCCCTACTATCCTACCTCAGTGTGACCAGCACTTAGGACCTTCACCCTACCAGTATTGAGGGCAACTTGGACCAGACAGCAATGACAAGCACCAGGGTTGGGCCAACCTCCCAGCCCTAATGGAAGCGGAAGCGGACGAACCTTGCCGTACGGGAACTTCGGACGCCAGGCTCATGCAATCTTCTACAGGCCCAATTCAGAGAGTCTACCCAGCAGGATAACCTAAGCAAGGCAGGCCAGCACCCGCGGACACATCCTACTGTCCTTCCCCGCCCCTGGCTTACCCAAGGCTAGGGGGAACTCAGACTAGCCGGAGCGACTTATATCCCTACCCTACCCTAGAGCTAAGCCATGCATGCGTGGACCCCATCATTATCGTCATATACCTGATAGACCCCCCCAGCCCAGTATCGTAGTTGTGTGTATATGTGTGAGGGCCCATAAGGCCATGTTTTTGTGTCTGCCCGAAGGCTATGTGTGATCTGTGGAACTGTATAGGGAGATATGTGTGCCCAAAGGCCAGATATGTGCAGTACTGTGTAGAGAGAACTATGTGTTCGTTTGAAGAGATGACAGGCCAAGCTGGACAAGACCCCCCCCCCAAAGTCCCAAGCCAGACTTGAACCCGTGATCTATGAAATGTGACCTGAAGACACTACCATTTGAGCAACAATCGCAAACGGCACCTGTGTGTGATATGCCAGACTGGGGAGATCAACAGAACAACGACGAACAACAGCCACAAGCAACCCACGCAGTATCAAGACCCGACATACAACACCATGGACAACCCCTTGGGTGGTGCGCAGGCAGTGTCTGTATAAGCTTACCGTGCGTCAGCCCAAGGGTGTGTGTTTCCAGCCGTGCGTCATTCTAACGCCCTGCCGGTGTCCATGCGCAAGGCTGCAATTGCGTTTTGAACCCGCAACCTTATACCACAATGCGCATTTCCAACCAGTGCTCTAACCACTGAGCATCCCCTCGTGCCAATGGTCATCGAAGCTGTCTGCAAAAGAGGCAAAACATGAAATCCAGTGCAGTCCCCCAGAGTCCAGACCACCTCCACAAAAAAAGTATTTGCCCACAAAAAACAATCCAAGCGTAGCAGGGACTACAGGACAGCCCCAAGTTCCCCTCCACAACCCTACTACCACAGTACCCCCAACTCAAAACTCCGTGGCAGGCAACAGAAGTGCAATGACTTAGGCTCCCGATCAACAACTTCACCATCCCCTTTCAAATGCCTAACTTCACCCTTCTTTATGGCTAGAAATACCCGACCCCTGATACCGGAGTCGGAGACACCCAACCTCCTCCTGCCTCCCCCTTTCTTCCTCTCCCTCCCCCTCCCCTCCCCTACACCCAACTGCCCTTCGCTCAATGCCGGCCAAGTATGGACTCTCATTCCGCGAAAACATTTTCAACAAAGCCAGAGCCTTCGGAAGAACAACAGAGGAACAATAAGGGGGACATAAAGGAGTGTTGTCAGAGGTTAAGGGTTTAACCGTTTAGGGGTTTAGAGGTTTTAAGGATTTAAAGTTTCTAGATTGGAGGGACTAACGGGAGTCAGGGCACCACAGTTAGACCATTGCACAAGGAAACTCTGAGTCCACCGCACAAAAGCGGGAATGGATAGAAGGATGGAAGTACCCCCAACTCCAAAACTCTGTGGCAGGCAACAGAAGCGCAATGGCTTAGGCTCCCGATCAACAACTTCACCATCCCCTTTCAAATGCCTAACTTCACCCTTCTTTATGGCTAGAAATACCCGACCCCTGATACCAGAGTCGGAGACACCCAACCTCCTCCTGCCTCCCCCTTTCTTCCTCCCCC